ATATATATATATATATATATATAGAGAGAGAGAGAGAGAGAGAGAGAGAGAGAACTTTTAATGTGCATCTTGAACTTGACTTAGTGATATAACCCAACTTAAATTTGAAATTTTACTTCAAACAAACAAGTTTGATTTAGCTTTTAACAAGTCAAATAGTGAAAGAATAACTCAATTCATTTACTTCCGAATTCAGAACTATGTACTTTTAATATTGGACAAGTCTTGACATCAAATATAAAAAAAAATATTATGTTTTTTAGCCTAAATTATACTTTTAGTCCTTTATTTACTTTTTATATTCATTTTGGTCATTCATTTTTTAAAATGTTCATTTTGTTCCTTTATCTCCTAAATTTAAGTCAATTTAGTCCATTTGAATCCTTTTTTGACTAATTCAAAACTTAAAACTTATCTCATAAAATTCATTTATATGAAAACTTTCAAATGCAATTGAAGTTCAAACCAAAATTATTATAAACATGGTGAAAATTGAAATTTTCAAATAATCTAATTTCATATTATTTTTTAACTGTTCATATATATTTTTCATATAATTTTTACTATGTTTATGACCATTTTAAATTTAAACATGAATTACATTTCATAGTTTTCATATGGGTGAACCTGATGTTACAAGTTTCATCTCTTAAATCAATCAAAAACCAATTCAAAATCATGTCACAAAATTGAAAATGATCATTATTTTAAAATGATTAAATTGATTCAAATATAAAAGATAAAAGATTAAAATAAACATTTTAACATATAAAAGATCAAAATGAATCTAAAAATTAAGAGAAAAGACCAAAAAATATAATTTAATATATTTTTATGCTTATTTTGATGATCAATCTGCATCCTTTATTAATTATTAATCACGTTACAATGCTAAAATTTAATGAATTTGCTATGCCTGCAGGATCGCTCTCTTGATTTTTATGAACTATGTGGTTTGTATGCTGTTACAGGTACACTTTTTGTGCATTTAGATTTCTTTTATTCTTTAACAAAGTCCAGTGTGTAACTTTTAATGTCAATTTTTCATTAATCAATAGTCAGCGAATGCCAAGATAGCTTTACACGTGTGAATCAGCATGTGCTTTGCATGATTTGTAAATGCTTACTTATTCATCTAAGTATCAATGAGATGGTCTTTGTACCCTTGACCAATAATGCATAACGTGATGTTAGAAGTCCGACTAGAGTATTTCACATATCTTCTCATTGATATGATATTGTTCGGTTTTGGCTTAAACCCTCATAATTTTGTCTTTGTTCATCATGCAAAGGCCTCAAATTAATGGAGTATGTGTGTACTTTATAAATACATGATTATCATCATATTCCAATGATGTAGACTTGGTTTGTATTCCAACATCATGGACTAGTCGTTTGTGACACTGTTGACGGTGTCATGTAGATTGTGAATGGTGTACCAAATGGGGTGATTGAGTGCCAAAAAGGTTGCCAGAGTTGCGGCGGTGGATGGTGGCACTGAAAACAGGGTGGGCACAATATAAATTGTCTCATGGGACAGTGGGTCCATCGAGCAGGCACAGATCTTGGGATGCCTCTATGAAGATCTAGATGTCATGTTGAAAGAAAGAAAATATAGACATGATAGGCTTAACATGTGTGTTGGAATACAACATGGAGATTATTTAGGCACAATACATTAAATACACATGATTAAAGGATACTGTTTTCCTCTAGAATTGATATTATTTGCCTGTAAACCACTCCAATAAATGTATGATAATTAATTTTGATTCTTGACATAGAACCTGTTCTTAACATCATAGCAGGCAGCAATGCCTTTCTTCATGGAGCAAGTCTCACTAAGATTTTTCACGTACCGAGGGATAGAACATACAATTCAGCTTATTCCATGCGTCATAGAGTTCCACAACCATGTCTTGATATGAGAATCCTCATTATCGTAAGCTTCAAACCTCATGTCATCTTGAGGTGGACCACCCCTTTCAATAGGCTTAGCTTCATACGCCCTTTTAGAATAGTATTGTGCCCATTGTAGATAGTTGTAATTATCAAGTCAATATCCTCGACCATCATTACGTAGTAAGTTTTCACAGAAAATGCAGCCAAGAAAAAAAATTAGAAAGAGATTTGATGTAGATTTGGAGCACATAACACAAAAATTGGTGAAATGAATCCCTAGAATGGACAGGGGGACTCTGATGAGCCTGTCTATGTTTGCACTGTCAAGTAGGAAGGGAGGCGCCCGTGGGGCAGAGATCAACCCCAAAACCCCTAGGCCTGACCGCAAGAGGAAAGGTACTCCTATTGGCCTGACTAGCAGTCCTGAAGGGGGTGACAATGAGTAGTGGCTTGCTGGAATAGAGCAGCAGAAACAGAGCTCCCATGATGAAGAGCTATACCAAGTTGAAAGAGAGAGAATTTGTATGTTGATTGTGTTTTAGTACATTCTCTAATCACCCGGAAATAAGAAAATAAGGAAATAAATATCAAGATACAATTGACATATTTTTGGAACCCATTAAATATCTATATGATATTTATAACAAATACAAACTTTTTTAACATTTTGGGAATTAAAGTTAGGTTTAAAAAATTATATTTTGGGACAGTATATTTGGGAATAGATCAAAGTATGCCAAATATGTCTAGAGTACTGCCATAAGTTTATAAAACCCTAATTTATTACATGTTTCCCTGAAGTCTCAATTGTCCTTGAAGGAATAAGTTTGTTTATTGAAGATATTCAATTATTTTATTGCAATTTTTCTGCTAATAGTGTGTACATACTTCCTGTTTCTTACCCAGATGTAGCACTTGTCACTTCTTTGAGGGATGGAATGAATCTAGTAAGTTACGAATTTGTGGCCTGCCAAGATAAAAAGAAAGGGGTTCTCATTCTTAGCGAAGTAATTACTGAAACTTTATAGTGTATTTGTCTTTTCTTTAATCTCTCATTTGATGCCATGTTAATGTTGAATAGTTGATGAAGAATAGATTCAAATGTTAGTGGATGAAACTTTCCCCCTAAAATCCTGTCTTTAGGTTATTGCACTTGCAATAAATTGAGTAATCAACCAAAACATCAAGAATTCATTGCCTGAAACAACTTGCCCTCGTTGTAAAAATATTAGTATTCTCTGTACTTATACTTTTACTATTTGAAGTAGTTTGGACAAATTAGATACAAAGTTTCATCTCTTCATTCCTGTCAAGCTTTTAGGTCTCTATTTATAGAAGGCTCTCAATGCTTCTCATCTATGGTTTTTTAAACTAAGCTTTTGCATATTTATTCCTTTTAACTAGATATCTATACTCAACGGGATGATTTACAATTGCATTAAATAAACAAGTATTCTCTCGATCTAACATTAGTATTCTTCTTGTAGTTTGCTGGTGCTGCACAGTCACTTGGTGCTGGAGCAATTCTGGTCAACCCTTGGAACATCACAGACGTAGCTGATGCAATTAAAAAGGCTCTGAATATGTCATCGGCAGAACGAGAGAAGAGGCATAAACATAACTTTCATCATGTAAAATCCCACACTGCTCAGGAATGGGCAGAAACTTTTGTAAGGTAGACATATACATAGTATTTTTTCCTGATATCCAGTCTTATTCATTAGAACCTTGTCATTTATAATGAGGGTGATCTATCCTTTTACAGCTTATTGATATATGTTTTTCGAATTTAATCTGCACTTCTGTCCTCGTGGTTTTTTCTTAAACAATACTGGAAATTATTTTCTTGATTTGCCTAATTAATTATACTCATTAACTTGATTTTTCGAGGATGCCAAGCGCATACTTCCTTTGGAAAATCACGAGTCTATCTTTAGATTGTTCAACTTCAATACCTTAGAAATATTGACTCTCTGGGACAGCAAGTATATTGTCGTGTGTGATTTCAGCGTTCAATTTTAATACTTTTATCAATTGATTTGCTATCACAAAACTGTCATAACTGCCCCTAACTCTCATTTCCTATCAATTTATTGGTCATGCTGTAATTTTATGAATAGTAGAAAGATGTGTGTTAGGTATCCCCTTTCTGTTAGTTAGTTATGGGAGATAGTTAGTTTAGGCATATTGCCTATAAATAAGAAGGTGCTGAGAGGGAAAGGGAGCTTGTCATATTTTTGTAAGAGGATTGTGGCCTTTGGGCTTTGGGAGGTGCAGACCCTCGAAGTTCTGCAAGACAACCATTTTCTTTCTGCAATTCTTTAGTCCTTTTTGTTATTCTTTATACGTTCTTTACAATGTGCAGATACCTGATTCTGATCATGAACCAAAACATGTTATTAAGAAACAATCTCCTGCTTGTATTTGTAAGATAGATCCAGGATACCTTGGTGATCTTTATCTTTTAATATTTGCAGTGAACTAAATGATACTGTTGTTGAGGCACAGCTAAGGACAAAACAAGTTCCACCAGGGCTCCCAACCAAGACTGCAGTTGAACGTTATTTGCAGTCAAAAAACCGGTTGCTTATTTTGGTATGCTGTCTTCCCATTAAGCTTATGTCTTATTTGAATACTGATCTTAAGTAACCCTTTTAAACCTTTATGTTTTCTCCGAGTATTTTACTATCTTAGTAAATGTCTGAATGCTACCTACTAGCTACTTTAGAAAGAGAAGAACACTACCAACATGGTGTAAGTGTAACATAGTAGACAGATAATTATGCTCCTTAAACATGTGGTCAGGGGTTCGATACTCAAGTCTGTATGTATGGAAGAACATTAGTTAGGAGAGGCTAGTCCCTTAAATGGATCTTCATGCCTCGAGGGTTCTCAGCTGGAGGATACCCTATGCAACAAAAAAAGGGAAGAGAAAAGCACTAGGTTGTTTTATAAATGGTATCAGATCCGGTGAAACACTTACTAGTTCTTATTGTGATGAAAACTAGGAAGGTTGTAATGGAAGCTAGACCTGAAGTGTATTACTGGAATGAGTCATCTGTTGAAATTGAAAAGGGGGAAAAGTTGTAAATTAAGCCATTTTCTCGTAACTGCATGTTCTTCCTCCATCTTTTGAACCAAATCAAACTCAGTGTGGAACAAAATGACTAAATATTATAAAAACTCAAACGTCAAATGTGGATAAACGTAGCTTGAAGATGACAAAGTTATGAGATATTTATTCGCCAAAAAATATAAAAGATTATCAGACATGGAACAGTTTTATTGCTTCAGGGAAGTTCTAATGGGGAAATTTGCAAGAAATAGATAGAATTTTTTTATAAACTGCCCAATTCTTATTGTCTGAAAATTCATAATAGACTTGGAATAACGTGGTTGTTTATAGAAGACAAACAAGATGCCTGATTAGGGAAGATAATGGTAGTATCTCAATACTAGAAATTGTGAACAAGTATGGCATTCTTAGATGTAAAAGTAGTCAGGGAATCAAGAGACATCAAGAGATGAATGTCATGTTTCAATATATTTTGTTGTTTTTAATGTTTCACTATATTAAATCATGAGCTCTAGCATTTTCCATAATTTTTGACATTTTCCCTTCACATTGGTGATGGTGATACACACTGCAGGGTTTCAATGGAACTCTAACTGAACCAGTTGAAAGAAAAGGTGATCAATATGATGAAACGGAACTCACAGTGCATCCAGAACTGAAACAACCCTTGGCAGAACTTTGCAGTGACCCAAAGACTACAGTTGTTGTGCTTAGTGGAAGCTGTAGGACAGTTCTAGATGAAGTAATAATTCTTGGTACATTACTTTCTTCTTTATGAACTAGTTGATCCAATTTTAACTTATTGCTGTTACAGAACTTCAAAGAATATGACATCTGGCTGGCAGCAGAGAATGGGATGTTTTTAAACCCTTCAAAGGGAGAATGGATGACAACAATGCCAGAGCAATTGAATATGGAATGGGTTGAAAGCGTGAAGGTGCTTATTTGAAGTTTCAATTGTTTTGGTTGCCTTTCCCCTTCACGATATCGAGTTACATTGATGATCATATGCTTGCAGCATGTTTTTGAGTACTTTACAGAAAGAACACCTCGATCACATTTCGAGGAAAGGGATGCTTCACTTGTATGGAGTTACAGACATGCAGGTGCTTGAGTTGTGTGTAGAGAGACTTTTTTGTGTTTTGGTTACTGTTTCTCCTGTTATTGATACTCTCACCATGATATAGATGTTGAGTTTGGAAGACTCCAAGCAAGGGACATGCTGCAGCATCTCTGGACAGGTCCAATTTCTAATGCATCAGTTGAAGTTGTTCAAGGGAGCCGATCTGTGGAGGTGCGAGCTGCTAATGTTACAAAGGTAATGTCGTGTTAGTAATTAATTTTTCTGAGTTCTGTTTTCGCATAAAAATTTTGATGGTGATTTAAATATATACATCTATCTTATATTCAATCAGGGCGCAGCTATTGACCGCATTCTAGGTGAGATTGTCCACAGTAAATCCATGACAACACCAATTGATTACGTTCTATGTATAGGACATTTTCTGACTAAGGTAACTAATGAGAACTTGTGTTTGTTTTTCATGTCCTTTTGAGCATGCTTTCACATGTGGCAATTTTTAATTGTAATTTGTTTCCTTACCATGCAAGTGTCTAGTATAAGCTTTAACCTTGACCTCAATGCCTTTTACTGCACAAACTTAAGTGATAAAATGGAAAAAGTGGAAGCTCAAAATTTAGTGAACATTCTAGATTTAAATTCAAACATGCTTTCCTGAGGTACAAAAACAAAGATTTCATTAGTTACCACTGGGCTTGCAAGTTACCATTGCTACTGTCCTGTTTCACTGCATATCCATTAAATCTACGTATTATGTTGAGAACTCTTGATCCATTGAAGGGTTTTTGATTTTTCCTTACTTTTGAACTACTCCACTATCATTTGTTTTATGTGCTGCCTACCTCAACCTCTGTTAAATCTTTTACACTTGCCGCCAATATGTTGGTTAAGCTTCCTTTGAGATTGTAGCATGTGATGAAATAACATTATCCCAGACATGTAAAGCAAAGTGGTTGTTAAATCAAAATCATACTTTTGTTTCTATTGGTGAATGCAAGTGGACGTGTTTGATGTCTTCCGCTCTTGGCTCATTCTTCCACGTCTGAAGGCTAGTTACTTCTATTAAAAGGCCGATGCTAATATATGTTTTTCATGTTTCAAAATTAGCTCATCTGCTCATGAACATTTGAAAGTTATTTTGCGGAATGATTTTAAACCTGTTTGGATATAAGTTTAGAAGAGATTCTCTATTGAAAATAAGGAGTTTTTTTCAATAGAAAAACTCTCAAAAACATTAAGTTGTATCCAAACAGCCTCATTGCACGCAATCGAATTTAACACGATCGGTTGCAGCAGGATGAAGATATATACGCGTTTTTTGAGCCAGAGTTACCTTCTAATGGATTCGGTCTTCCACGAAGTAAGGTAACAGAAGGAGTTAAGTTCCCTGTTGACAGGATATCATCAGTGAAGATCCCAGCTAGTAAAAATGGAGCAAAATCATCATCCCAAAATAAGGGACAACGAGCAGTGGAGAAGAAAATAAATAACCATATGTGCCGTGCACCACGTAGGCCAGTCCCTGAAAAGATCTCTTGGAATGTTCTTGACCTGAAGAAGGAGAATTACTTCTCATGTGCTGTTGGAAGAACACAGACAAATGCTCGGTATACACTTGGATCCTCAGAGGAGGTTGTTGCATTTCTGAAGGATCTAGCGAATGCCAAGGGTTAAGATTACATATTTTTGCATCTTAGGATACTTCCCACCTTCGCAATTCGGTATATACTACCAATCCTGCTTCCTTCAAATGCCCATATTGCAAGTTAGAGCAATTTTAGTCTCAGAATTTCTTGTACATGTTCATTTAGTTAAATTTGCTTTTGTTCTGCATTAGAGAATAGCCTTTTCTTGCAAGGTTTCATAATTATTTCAATGATGTGCACAAGATTTTAATTATTTATATATATATATATATATATGTTAATTTACGCCCACAGCCCAAGAGAATTAGGAACAACATGAATTTGGTTTTGGCAGGCCAAAGAGCCCCACATACACTTTTGCTTAGGTCAGCAATAGTATCTTAGCGCACCTACTATATATAGCTAATTTTGTATTACAAACGATTTATTAAAGAAATTTCAATAGCTTTATTATATTATTAATCACATTTGTGAGATAAAGTTAACTACACTTAGATACTTTAATAATTATATGACCTGTTAATCACATCCACATCAATTATATACAATTAATTTATTTTTAACTACACATTATTTCTAACGGTCAATAATCTTATGTGTTATTAATTACTTCTGAAATAAAGTCAATTACAAGTAAATATTTTAATAACTTGAGGATTTTTTTACTGCATAACTCCCAAGATATTATTAACCATGTTTTAATAATTATATATGATTAAGTTCGTTTATTCTTAATTACTTGTTAGATAACAATAAGAGTTAATCACCTATACACTTTTAGTGTAAAGTTTTTTTATACTGACAACTAATTATATCTTCTAATTGTGCCATGTCATTGTAAATACATTTATTTTTAACAATGACATGACACAATTAAAAGATATAATTAGTTGTCAGTGTAAAAAAACTTTACACTGACAGTGTATAGGTTATTAACTCTAACAATAATCATATTTATATGTGCAGTTAAACACTAGTGGCAAACTATAACATCATATTATTAACTTATTTGTGAAATAAATTTAACTGCTATTAAATATTCTAATTACTTTATAACATTGTTAGTCATATATTTATAAATTATATACAATTATATTTGAAAGGATTAGCAGAAAAAGTTGTCATATTCTATTGGCTTAATTAGTTAGACTAATCAAATCGAATAACGTAAAAATTAAATACTTATATATAATAGTATATATTAAGATTTTTAAAAAAAAAAACATGAAACCATATCAAAATATGCATAATAAAATATATCATTCATTTTTTATTTATATCCTCAATAAAATAATAAATGCATTGAATTTGATCTTTATAAAAAAAATCATCTATCTTATCAATGCTATCTAATTCATTTTGATATGTATTATTAGTATAAAAAAAATTACATTAATATTTAATAATATACTATCACATCGTTTGATAAATTTAATATACAATATGATTGTTAAGATAATTAAATTTGTTAAATGAAAATAACGTATCGCCAGATTTTCACATCTCACGTAACTAGGCACAAAAAAGTCTTTAAACATGATGATCCTACTTGCCCATGTCCTTGTCTATGTCTCTCTTCACAAGACCTTGCGTATATACCTTTGGTTCATTCCAAACTAAATAATTTATGTATTGTCATATTTTGTATTTTCAACGTCTTCAAGTGCTATACAACACTAGCTCTTAACTTTAAGAGAAGGAAATTAAATGAATATTTGAGCAGTGCTAAGGAGGTTTAGCTCACTTAGTTGAGGAAGTACGTTTGTATTGTAAATCTCTTTGGTACCGAATTCGATTCTCAGACAAATAAAAATATACAATGCAAATACGATAAAAGCATAACTGCATGTCCCACAAAAAAGGATATATATGAGAAATAAAAGAATACATGTCTTCCAGGATGCAAAAGATGCTAGTAAGTTTTTTGGTAACAAAACCCTATCTAAGGTTTGCTCATAACAGAGGACACTATAAACTAGAATAATGAGGCAGAAATGTTAACTTAGAACCACATCTGGTCCAAATCATAATACTTGTCACCCTCTAAACACAGTACATGCTGGAACTATATGTTGAAACTGGAATTACTTATAGCTAAAAGAGCAAGAACTACATGGCTAGCTGTTTTTGTGGTGTGGTTCTTATCAAACCAAATGAAATAACAATGAATTAATGAGTGATCTATGTAGCCCGCCACAAAAATGCATAGTCTGTGATGTCTAAAACATGAAACTACTTAACTATGCAGATTTCTTGTTGGGCTCAAAGACATACTTGATCAGTGATTCCTTGATGGAAAGAATCTCTGGGAACTCTTTCTTCAACTTGGATGCATCCATCTCGTTGTTGCTACGTGGAGCAACGATCACCTTGGCTTGCTCTTCAAGTGTGAAGTTAACCCACTTGAAGTTTGGATCAATGTAATCCCTGTACATCTCTAGAATCTCATTGTGGCTCACAGCACCAGGGTTTGTGAAGTTATAGATGCCCCTCAGGTTTCGCTTTGCCATCTCAATTGAAATTGGCAGAAGTTCATCCAAAATAGTCATGCTGTTTGGAATGTTGACTACTTTGTTGTAGCGAGAAATCTTGGTGATGAAGTTGCGTGGATTACTCAAGTCGGATGAAATCGGCATGCGAACCCTAAGGGTGCATACATTGTCATATTCTTTCAAGAGCTCTTCAACCTGGGAAAAATTCACATCCATGTTATCAGATGTGGTTATAGTCATAGTGAAAAGGAAATAAAGCAAAATAACATGTAACTTGAAAGTAAGCTTACCATAGCCTTAGTTTTGGAGTAGAAAGAACCAATGAAATTGGGTTTGTCTTCCTCCTTAAAACCAATGCCAGAACCCTCTGGATGAGCCTCATCATACTCAAATATGCACCCAGTAGCATAATTTATCATCAAGAGTCCATGCTCTCTGCTGACATCAGCCAATGTTAAAGTCCCAGCAACGTTGGCACGGATGGTTTCAGTTTTATGAGATTCACACCAATCAACATTGGGTCTGCCAGTCACTCCTGCTGCATTAAAAATGTGTGTTGGCTTCACATTCTGAATGTCAGCCACGAGTGATGAACGGTCCTCTAAGCGCCCTTTTCCATATTCATATGGAATCCCTTGCTTTTCACACAATTTCCCCAGCAAGCCCCCAATCCAACCTGTTCTGCCATAGATCAAGAACTTGAGATTATGTTTCTGTGAGGAGCCAACATTCTTGGATGATGGAACCACCATCCGAGTATTAGTCGAGACATATGTTGAAGGTTTTTCTTCATCAGATCCATCAAAATGTCTCTCCAATCCACCAGGCATCATCAGCATCCTTGGATGAGGAAGCAATGCACCACTGACATCACCCCACCAATCAGGATTGTTGATATACCAGTCCATGGTTTTCTTCAAGCCCTCTTCCCAAGTGGTCCTCTCAGACCAACCCAAGATCTTCAGCTTTTCATCATCAAGAAAGTATCTCTGGTCATTAAATGGCCTGTTCTCTACAAATTTTATACAAGTATCCGGGTCCTTCGAGAAAAGCCTGCATATATCTTTGGCAACATCGATAACTCTCCTTTCCTTCTTAGTACCAATGTTGTAAACATGTCCAACCTCTCCCTTGTGAAGGATAACCTCAAAAGCCTCTGCAACATCTTCACAATATAAATAACTCCTCACATTAGAACCATCCCCATGGATCGGAAGATTCTTTCCCTGCATAGCCAGGAGGATGAACTTCGGGATTTTAACTTCTCCGGAAACTGATTAGGCCCATAAACATTGTTTCCGCGTGTCGTGATCACAGGCAACCCATATGATCTGCCATATGCCATGACAAGCATTTCTGCCCCAGCTTTTGTTGCAGAATATGGATTTGTGGGAAGTAACTGAGAAGCCTCATGGTTTCCAACAACAGCATCCTCATCTGTCTCTCCATAGACCTCATCAGTGCTCACATGGATGAACCTTTTGATCTGGCCAGTTACCTTGCAGGCTTCTAATAGGACATGAGTACCATATATGTTGTTCTTGGTGAACTCGAAGCTGTTGCCAAACGAGTTGTCAACATGAGTTTGAGCAGCAAAATGCATTATTGTGTCAATGGACTCAGTGATGAGAAGGTAGTTGACTAGGTCAGCACTGCCAATATCTCCCTTCACAAACTTGAAGTTGGGAGACGATTTTGAAGGAATGAGGTTCTTCAGATTTGAACAATAATCAAGTTTGTCAAGAACAACAATTTTGTACTGTGGATAGTTTCGGATAAGGCGGTTGGCAACATGAGATGCAATGAATCCAGCAGCCCCAGTAATGAGGATATTTTTTGGGGTATGCGTAGCCATGGCCCGCACTTCTACAAAAAAAATAAAAGGAAAATCACAATCACCAAGATATAAGAATCAACATATCCATTTTTCACCAAATAATCACATGAAGTAAAATAAAACATTGCATGTCACAACAATTGTTCATCCTATCATAAACAGAAGAATTAAATATGTTTTTAGTTTTCGAACATTTGCTGATTTTCATTTTTAGTCTCTAAACTAAATTTTTTTTACTAATTTTAGTTTCTGGATCACTTTTAGTCCTTAAACTTTTCCTCCCATAAACATTTTGGTCCTTGAGGTCAAATTTTTTTTTTCATGAAAAAAAATTTCAGGAACTAAAATCAAGTAAAATTTGTTCATAGACTAAAAACATATTTAATCCTAAACAGAAAAAACCATTTTCAAATTGAAGGTAAGCTAAGTTCTGGATAATAAGTCAATAAGACAGTGGTGTGAGGAAATCAAGCAACTATGACATAAGTTTGGGTAGCATTGCAGGAGGTGATAGTTTGAAACCTCCCTGCCTTGTGTGCACGGTTAAATAAACCATTAGGAAATTTTCCATCTGTAGGTAAATGATCCACAGAGTATAGCTAAAAAGCTCACACAACAAGTCCAATAGAAAGAAGAGAGAGAGTAAAGCAAAGCAAAAAAAAGGAATATAGGAACATATTTTCTTGATCCAGTTCGTTAATAAGAAAAAATACAATAAGTCAATAACCAATCCACTATTTATCATTCTTCGTTGTTTATATCAACACCCAGGAAAAAACAAACAAGGGAATATTTAAAGCTATAAAAACACACGCAAATAAAATAAAGTCAAATAAGACAAACAAAAACAACACAAATCACAGCTCAGATTCCGCACAAACACCACGAAATGCAAAGAATTTCTCACAGAACCAATTACCCTAGCTTCAGAATCACAAATCCAGCACAGATCTGATTGTTTCAC